GGGGGGGGCGCGCGCGCCAGCGCCTGCGGGGAAAATGGGGGGGGGGGGGCAGGCGAAGCTCTCCCCTCCCTCCCCCTCGCGCTGGTCCCTCCCCTCCCTCCGCCCCCATCGCCAAGGCGGCGTCCTCCTCCTGCTGTCGGAGAAACTTTGGCTGGAGTTCCGTGCGCAGCTCTGCCTTCCCCACCATGCCCGCCTCTTACGGCCAGCGCGCTCTGGGCGCCCTGGTGCTCCTGGCCACGGCGGCCGGCTTGATGGCCGTGCTGGCCTCCATGCTCATCTTCCAGATCCAGGCGGGGAGCCGGGCCGGGGGCGGCGGGGGCGGCCTGCCCGAGGGGGCCGGCCGGGTGCTGCTCCCCGTCTCGGCCGTGCTGGCGTCCCTCTGCCTGGTGCTCAGCCTGAGCGGCCTCCTCGTCAGTCTCTTGCACGGCTACTGCGGCGCCGAGCGGTGCGCCTCGCCAGGGGGCGCCCTGGAGCCCGACAGGTGGGTATTTGGCGGCGGCGGGGGGGGAGTTTGCAGGGCCCCACAAGCGCCAGGACCCCCGACAAAGGCTGTGATCACGCACACGAAGTCATCCACTTTCAATGCACTTTTGAATTGGATTTTACCAGTTTGGTGTCTGGTTAAGATTTTGCCAGTTTGGTGTAGTGGTTAAGGGTTTGATTCCCCACTCCTCCACTTCCACCTGCTGGATGACTTTGGGCAAGCCATAGTTCTGATAAGAGCCGTTCCTGTCAAGAGCTCTCTCAGCCCCACCTACCTCCCAGGGTGTTTGTTGTGGGGAGGGGGAGGGAAAGGCGTTTGTCAGCCGATCTGAGACTCCTTCGGGTAGTGAAGGGCGGGGTATAAATCCAATCTCCTCTTCTTCTACACCAGTTTGGTGTAGTGGTTAAGTGTGCGGACTCTAATCTGGGAGAACCGAGTTTGATTCCCCACTCCTCCACTTGCACCTGGCTGGATGACCTTGGGCAAGCCGTAGTTCTGATAAGAACTGTTCTTGAAAAAGAGCCGTTTCTGTCAAGAGCTCTCTCAGCCCCACCGACCTCCCAGGATGTTTGTTGTGGGGAGGGGGAGGGAAAGGAGTTTGTGAGCCGCTCTGAGACACCTTCGGGTAGTGAAGGGCGGGGTATAAATCCAATCTCTTCTTCTGCTTCTTCTAAAAATCCAGTTGGATTTACTGTGTGTGATCACAGCCTACATCAATGCTCCCTCTAAACTGCGGAGTCCTGTGAGCAAAAATTCTACTTTGTGAGCTACTGGCATGACACTTGGGAGCGAGCGATTTGTCTACTGCATAAGTTAGCTTGCTCTGGACTCTGGAGCTGTCCTTCCTGAGTGAGTACAAAAATGTGTGAGCCGGAGGCTAAAAGACGGTGAGCTAGCTCACACTAACTCAGTTTAGAGGGAACAGTGCCCTAAATAATCCACTTCCAATGCACTTTCCAACTGGATTTTGAACTGGCAGAATCCGATTGGAAAGTGCATTAAAAGTGGGTCCTGGCATTAAAGCTGTGAGCCAGCAATTTGGCTGCTGCATCAATTAGTTGGCTCTGGAGTCATCCTTCCTGAGCTAAGACGAGAATGGGTGAGCCGGAGGCTAAGAAACTGCGAGCTGGCTCACGCTGACTCATCTTAGAGGGGACACTGCTCTGGACTGTTCTTCTGTCTTGTGGGCAGGTGAAGGAGGAGGCCAAAGCGGGCAGGGCGGAATAAAAGAGGAGGGGGCCAGCGATGGCACTCCCCTCCCAAACCCCTGCCTTCCCCAGGCTCCGCCTTCCAAATCTCCAGGTATTTCCCAACCCGGAGCTGGCAACCCTAGTAGTAGAGCATCGGCTTGGCATGCAGAATGTTGGAGGTTCAGTCCCCGGCATCTCCAGTTAAATAGGACCAGGCAGTAGGTGATGGGAAAGACCTCAGCCTGAGACCCTGGAGAGCTGTAGAGAGGGGCTGTGGCTCAGTGGTAGAGCATCTGCTTGGCATGCCAAAGGTCCCAGGTTCAATCCCTGGCGTCTCCAGTTAAAAAGGACCAGGCAGTAGGTGATGGGAAAGACCTCAGCCTGAGACCCTGGAAAGCTGTAGAGAGGGGCTGTGGCTCAGTGGTAGAGCATCTGCTTGGCAGGCCGAAGGTCCCAGGTTCAATCCCTGGAATCTCCAGTTAAAAAGGACCAGGCAGTAGGTGATGGGAAAGACCTCAGCCTGAGACCCTGGAGAGCTGTAGAGATCGGCTGTGGCTCAGTAGTAGAGCATCTGCTTGGCATGCCAAAGGTCCCAGGTTCAATCCCTGGCGTCTCCAGTTAAAAAGGACCAGGCAGTAGGTGATGGGAAAGACCTCAGCCTGAGACCCTGGAGGGCAGCTGCCGTTCTGAGTAGACAACACTGACTTGGAAGGACCAAGGTCATGATTCAATGTAAGGCAACTTCATGTGTCTCCAGTGGATGGATTGTCTGCCACCTTTTTATGTTCACAACATCCTTGAGAGGTAGGCTGGGCTGAGAGAGACTGCCCTAAGGTTTGGCTTGTAACGGAATGGCAATTTGAATCTGTTCTCCCTCTCAGCGTCCAACCCTTCATTCCCTAAATGAACCCCACTGGGCATCTTTGTAAGACGTTAGTTGCTTTGAGGAGGAGGAGATTGGATTTATACCCCGCCCTTCCACTTGGAGTCCCAGAGCGGCTTACAAACTCCTTTCCCTTCCCTTCCCCACAGCAGACACCCTGTGAGGTAGGTGGGGCTGGGAGAGCTCTTTCCAGAACTGCCCTTTCAAGGACAGCTCTGACAGAAGTGTGGCTTGCCCAAGGTCATCCAGCGGCTGCAAGTGTAGGAGTGGAGAATCAAACCCGGTTCTCCTGGATTAGAGTTCACCACTCTTAACCACTCCAAGGTGGACCAGCAAAATCCAGAAATTATTTACATGAATTGTTATATTAACTATGCTAATACTGATTGTCTGCTCACCTGGATAGCCCAGGCTAGCCAGATCTTGTCAAATCTTGGAAGCTAAGCTGGGTTGGTCCTGGTTAGCATTTGGATGGGAGACCATCAAGGAAGCCCAGGGTTGCTATGCAGAGGAAGGCAATCGCAAATTGCCTCTGAACGTCTCTTGCCTTGAAAACCCCACGTGGTCACCATAAGTTGCCTGCATCGACAGCGCTTTCCACCATCAGTACCGTTAACATTTATTTGGGGGACCCCACAGAAGTCCCTGAAAAACACACACCAGAAAATCTTTGGAAGTCATTTTTTTTTAAAAAAATCCCTGTGGCCTTAATGTCATCCCTATTTTATATGGCTTCCTCTGTCCCATATTTCTGGAGCTCTTGAATTAGGATACAACATCCTCCTTTAACCCCATCCCCTGCACACACACACTATCGCTTAAGACTGTAAAGCTCTGTGGAGACAGAGACCTGATTTTTATCTACATAGACGTTACAATTCCCTGCAGGAAAACTTTTTGCACTGAGCAAGCAGATGTTGTTTACCGGCCAGATTAGCAAGACATGCCTGAGCTAGTCTTAAAGGTTTCCCTTGCTCGAAAGCCAGTCGAATCCGACTCTAGGGTTGCGGTGCTCATCTCCGTTTCAAAGCCGAAGAGCCAGCGCTGTCCAAAGACGTTTCCGTGGTCACGTGGCTGGCATGACTAAACACCAAGGCGCACGTAACGCTGTTACCTTCCCACCGAAGTGGTACCTATTTATCTACTTGCAATTTCTTGCTTTCGAACTGCTAGGTTGGCAGGAGCTGGAACTAGAGATGGGAGCTCACTCCGTCATGCGGCACCCGGGTCTCGAACTGCTGAACTACCGACCTTCCACAGCCTGCAGTTCAGCGTCTTAACCACTTGAGCCACCGCAGCTGATCGAGCTAGTCTTAGAGGATTCTAATTGGGCCATTTAAACCCTGTTACTACCAGTAAAACAATGTCTGTGTCTGTGTGTGTTAAGACTGTCATTTCTGATTTGTGGTGACCCTATGAATGAATAGATGATCTCCAGGCCGTCCTATTGTTGACCGTCTTGCTCAGGTCTTGCAAATTGTGAAAAATGGCTTCCTTGATGGAGTCCATCCATCTCATGTTGGGTCTTCCTCTTTTCCTGCTGCCTTCCAGCTTGTCCTAGCCTGGTTGTCCTTTCCGGTAATAATAATTAATAATTTATCATACAGAATTGTATGTCGAATAGCCAGGAGATCGTAAGATTGTCTGGTGGCCTGAAGTTCTAGCTCTTTTAGTGTTATGCACCACTAGGTGGCACGCCGGACTTATTTTTGGTATAAAGAAACAAAAACACAAGGGTAGACCATCAACAAATATACAAATTTCACAAGTTGCCAGTAGACACAAGTCTGTTGAAACATGGTAACATTAGATCAATAAAGTAGAATTGGTGGTCACAATTCAATGGATTCCATTTGAGAGATGAGCTGTGCCTAGACTATCGTGGAAATCTGGTTCCATTTTTCAGCCGTGTAACCGAGGAAGAATGTTTTGAAACGTCTGGTATACCTGGGAAGGACATCTTTCGGCTGCAGAAGTTTCTTTGTTCTTTGGGACACCCCCTGTCTTTGTTTGTGGACTTTGAGGTCCTTTGGACACTATTTCACAAAAGGATTTAGAGGAGTCTCTTGTTGTTTTACTACAATTGAATTATATCTATTCTTGTCATACTTAGTATTCATCTTTATTTATGAATTGTGACCATTGTCTTTGAATTGTGACCATCAGTTCTACTTTATTTATTGATGTAACGATGCAGGGCTATTTTGGGGCAGGAACGCACCGGAACAGTGTTCCTGCTGGCTTCCGCGGTGGGTTGGCTGGGGAGGGGAAGGGAAGGCGGGCAGACATGCCCCCCCTTTCTCCTGAGCCTCTTCGCTTTTGTGGAAAAGCTCGGGGGAGTGGGGGGGGATTTAAATACCTTTCCTTCCCTTCCCCAGATGGGCAAGGGAAAGAAAGGCATTCTCAACATGCCTGGGTTCCCTGCCCGGCCTAATATGCTAATGAGTGTCTGCTGTTGGGTGTGGCCTATCATGCTAATGAGATCTACAAAAAAAGCCCTGGTCTTATGCGGTCTGAGCAGACTCCAGGAGGCACAGCCTGTTAAGAGCAGCTGGAAATCAATACAGGGACAAAAATGAGAGAGAACGCAGCCAGCCAGGGGTCATTTCCTGCAGGAGCGCACAGGAGCGGAGCTCCGGCAGTCAAGAGCCCAGGGGGCGGGCACATGCAACAAGCCCCACCTCCTGCTCCCAGCAGCCCTCAGTCAGAGCAAGAAGCAGCCAGGTAAGTTGCAGAGCTTCCCCTGGCCCGCCGGTCCAAAACAGTCCAGTGGCACCATTAAGACCAAGTTTTATTCAGGTACAAGCTCTCCCTCCTCTGCGAGGACAGATCTGCACGTTTCTCCCCCACCCCCCAATAGCTAGCAATCCAGAACAGTCCAGTGGAGCCTGAGCGGTGGGTGTTGCCTTCTGACACACTTCCGG